AGGATGCACCCGGCCGCCCTGCGGCCGCCTGTATCCGGGATCTTGCCCTTTCGGTCATGACCAAAAAGGGCAAGATCATTTGGTCATGATTTAAAATTATCTTGAGGAAAAGACATGATGAAACAAACATTTTAAATAACCCAAATCTGCCAGTTCAGTGAAGAAATTATGCTTTACAAAAAAGTTGAAGTCCTTTTTGTGACATTTTCCTTTCTGTCAGTGTGGAAACATGGCCAGAGAAGGCCTGAGGACGCTGGTGGTAGCCAAGAAGTCTCTGTCTGAGGAGCAGTATCAGGACTTTGAGGTATGCAGGAACACTTTACTTCTTCAGTTATACTCTTATGTTATCTGGGATATTTCATTGTCATGATGTAGCTTTGCTGTCTCTTCTTGGTGTTTGCATTAAAGTAACATGATCCAGTGTTTGAAAGTTTCGGCTTTCTAAAATGATCATATTCACAGTAATAATGTTCATTTCTCACCAATGTTTGTTTGTTTAAATATTTCCTGAACACACACACACACACAACAGTAATCATCGTAATGTTGCCCTGTTTAATATTTTACATCCCTTTTACACCAACAATTTCCTCCTCATTTATCTCCCATTTGCTCCTGTCTTTCTGTGTACAGAGTCGCTACAACCAGGCAAAGCTGAGTACTGATGACCGGGCCCTAAAGGTTGCAGCAGTGGTGGAAAGCCTAGAGAGAGAGATGGAGCTTCTGTGTTTGACTGGTGTAGAAGACCAGCTACAAGCAGACGTCAGGCCCACGCTGGAGCTGCTCAGAAACGCCGGCATCAAGGTTGGCACAGAGATCCAGGCTAACGCTGGTTAGATTCTGTCTGTTCTGTTGGAGAGACTCAAATATAAACCCCACACACCTCAGCAATGATTCAGGGTTGTGACCAGGTTCACAAAAATTAGGAAAATAATAACCTTCCTTTAGAAGTAAACTGTTTATGCATCTCTGTTTGTGTGCCTTTTAATGTCACATCTTCAGTCTAATTACATTGTGATCCTCTTCTGTGCAGATCTGGATGCTGACAGGGGACAAGCTCGAGACAGCTACATGCATCGCCAAAAGCTCCCATTTGGTCTCCAGAAACCAAGACATTCATGTCTTCAAGCCGGTACGCTGTTTTATTTGCCCTCTGTTCTGGTGCTTTGGTGTAATGATAATGTGCCTATTTAATGGGAGAAAACACAAAGCCTAAATGTTCTTGTGACTAATTGTATTGTGTGGCACTTGAGCAGGTCTCAAACAGAGGAGAGGCCCATCTGGAGCTCAACGCCTTCAGAAGGAAACATGACTGTGCTCTGGTCATCTCTGGAGACTCCTTGGAGGTACTACAACACAACACAACACAGCACACAGTGACATTTTCTTGTACAGCAGATGATGCTGCAGATGCGGCCAGACATGCGATGAGAGAATAAAAAGTACTCCTCAGCCAAAACTAACACTGTAGAGTTCAACTAAGGGCTTCAGGATTTGGAGCTGGAAAAATCACAGAAAGCTCAGTGCCTTTTAATAGCAGCTAGGTTTTATGTGTGTTTTAAGGGAAGCAGAACAGTGTATTCACATATAATGATCCTAAAGATTTCATGATGGTCTACAAATCAACTATAGTAAGAAAACATCTGTAGTATGTAGTGCCCAGTAAAGTACAATTTGTATCCTGTTTGTTGTTGTGTTACAGGTGTGTTTGAGGTATTACGAGCATGAGTTTGTGGAGCTGGCGTGTCAGTGCCCAGCTGTGGTCTGCTGTCGCTGCTCCCCGACTCAGAAGGCCCAGATTGTCAGACTCCTGCAGCAGCACACAGCCAACAGAACCTGTGCCATAGGTGAGTGTTGACAGAAATAAGGCAGTACCGTTACAAGTCTGGATGATTGTCTGCCTGGGAAAAAACATCTGCATGGAGTCGGTCAATTCATTGGACAGATTAATTAAACAAGCAGTCCAATGGATAGTTTCATACTTTGTCAGCTTTAAAAGGACTCCTGGTAAGGTGCATAAATGACCAATTACTGAGTCTGTCTCTGTGTTAGGTAAGGTGCTGAAAATGCATTCAAACTGAATGTACAGTCCACACACACGTGCGCGTGCTCGTACAAGCACCTGCGTGTGTGCTATGAAGGCAGAACCCCAGAGCAAATAAATGTTGTTACTACTTTTGTCCACAAGATGGCCTCAAAGCTCACATAGTGTAGAGAAGCACCTACTGTGTCGTTGTCTATTAACCTCAAGTGTGATGTAGTTGATTTTAAGTGTGTGTTTACTGTTTTGTTTCAGGTGACGGGGGAAATGATGTTAGCATGATCCAGGCTGCAGATTGTGGTATTGGAATTGAGGGAAAGGTAAAGCCTCCATAAGCAGTTCACTAACTACATACATACATTTTCATTAAGTCTTATCCTGGATTAGACCATTTTACTTCATTCAGTTTAGAGGTTTGCATTATGTTTCAGAATCATCTGCTTCTTAAAGAGTAGAGCTTTGCAACCTAGCAGTAACATTGCATCTTAATTTCCATGTAATGTTTTTATGTATAGAATGTGTGCATTATGTAAAGCGCCTTGAAATGCCTTTGTGTATGAAAATCTGCTATACAATAAGCTTACCTTTGTCTGTTTCTCCCGACAGGAAGGGAAGCAGGCATCTCTGGCCGCAGATTTCTCAATCACTCAGTTCAGGCACATCGGCCACCTGCTGATGGTTCATGGCAGGAACAGCTACAAGCGCTCTGCAGCCCTGGGTCAGTTTGTCATGCACAGAGGCATGATCATCTCTACCATGCAGGTACAATGACTTTCAACAGCTGTCAAACATAAACAACTATTAAATCTGTCACCTTATCACTTAGCAGAGCTTTTAGAGAATTTGTGTCTATTAAAGCCACACTTGCTGACAAAGTCGAAGATAGTCTTCCACATTGTTGACATTACAGTTCTCCTCTACTTCTGCAGGCTGTCTTTTCCTCCATCTTCTATTTTGCCTCAGTTCCCTTGTACCAAGGTTTCCTCATGGTTGGGTATGTACCTTTTCTAAAAGTCATATGTTTCTTCATGGTTATGTATAACTTTGGTTCAAGAATGAGGAAATATTCTGCAATTTCACTATCGGAATCTAATGACCGGTACACCCCGTATTTCTCTTAATCATCACCGATCATAGCCCATATTGATTTAGATTTCCTACTACATCTCATATGTACAGTATATGCTCAGTCTATCGAGTACTCCAACTTGCTGCTGGTTATGTATCTTTTTTGTCTAATAGCATCATAAATGCTTAGGTGGCCTATTGTACATCATGCCAGCCACACAGCAATACAAAACAAACGTGGATAAATTTGATAATCTTTAATTGATTTCTTATGCCAACCTTCTAAGCTTTTTGCACCATTCCTGTTCCTGTGTGTGCAGATATGCCACTATCTACACCATGTTCCCAGTGTTCTCCTTGGTTCTGGACCAGGATGTGAAGCCCGAGATGGCTCTGCTCTACCCGGAGCTTTATAAAGACCTTACCAAGGTACTGTGTCCTTCTTTCTTGCCAGCTCTGAGTATTACATTATATCATCTGAAAGTATGTTGCTGTGATGGATGACGCATTCTTTTTTCAGGGGCGTTCGTTATCTTTCAAGACTTTCCTCATTTGGGTTTTGATCAGCGTCTATCAAGGTAAGGTGCACAGACTTATTGTACAAGTTATATTTGACCATCAGTCACTGTGAATTGCAGATGAAATAGTTTCTTAAAAGTAATTTGACAGTTTTTTTAACAGATCTTTAAACAATGGCCAGTCTGACAGTGCCAGCTGTCAAAGCAGCTCCTCAATCACCATTTCATCATTTCTCCTGTGTCTAATACCAAGGCCTTTTCAACCTCTGTCAGTTTCTCAGTATCTTAAGTTTCCAGTTGCTGTCCGCTTTTACATGCAGGCTTTTGTCTGTCCAGTAAATCGATATTTCTGTAATCACTAAGCCATGTAGCACGTGAGAAAGATCTGTGTTCCTGCTCAAGCGTGACTTCCTGACAGTTTTTAATTAAAGGCCAGTACCTGGTCTGTGGAATAAAAAAGAAATGTGAAGACCGTATGAGAGGACAACAGCATGGGGGGGAAATATTATGCTTAATTTATTTGAGTCTGACTCACTGGAATGCACAGTATGAAGTCTATGAAGAAGTAATTATGTGATCAGTTATAAGCTATTAAGCTCAATTTGTGTTGTTATGATAAAGGGAAAGGTTATCGAGATACAGCAGGCGCCTAAAGATGAGTCAGTGTCTGGACACTTCAAGAAGTTTTCCAGAGTGAGACACACTAGAGCACACTGCGCATCTTTTACCCTCATAAATAACCTTATTGAAGCAGCCCTTATCTTCACACTCATTAATCCTTAACTCAGAGGCCTGGTCTACTTGTCCTGTGTCAAGCAGACCTGAGGAAAAATTTATGAGAGAAGAAGAATGCTTGAAGAAAACTGTACAAGGGAAGTACTCAAACACAGATGCGGCCCAGTGTTAAATGCCTCTGATTTCGCTTTTTCGGCCTATTCCAACAGCACTGTGCTAAAATGGTCTGGTGTCATATGGTCAATTTGTTTCCTTTGGCGCCGCCAGGTGGCATCCTCATGTACGGAGCGCTGGTGTTGTTCGAGTCGGAGTTCGTGCACGTGGTCGCCATCTCCTTCACAGCACTCATCCTGACTGAACTGCTGATGGTAGCACTGACGATTCGAACCTGGCACTGGCTCATGGTGCTGGCCGAGTTCTTCAGTCTTGGCTGCTACCTCGCCTCACTCGCCTTCCTCAATGAGTACTTTGGTATGTATCATGTTTTTTTAGATCTCTTTTAGGACATTCACCATATAGAAGTTAAAGATGTGAAGAAAAGCTTATTTTATGATTAAAAACCATGCAAGTGAGAATTGTTAAAGGGGTTTCATGTGTTCAAGTCTGATTAAAACTGTAGAAACCAGGAGCCAGAAACAAATTTACACCAGGTAACTTATTTTTTGAGTTGCATCTATTAATTATTTTTGTTAGTATTAACCTGCTGATTATTTTCTTGGTTAAATGATAAACAGTTTTATCTAAAAAGTCTCATAAAATAGTGAGAAGGGCTCTTTATGCCTCCCCAGAAGTATTCGCAGTGCATATTATATTGGAGCCAATTATGAAAATAGTTATTTTCTCTGTGAGTCATTCTATGGATTGAATTGTTCTGACTTTGTTCTGTAGTAATAGTGTTTGCTGACTACAGTTGCAGTGGAGGGGATGGCTGTGTTGCCTGAGCGCCTCGCGGGGGCCACTGCAGCCACTGCAGCTGCCCTCTGTTGGTTTTGATGCAGCACTGGCTGGCACCTCAGCATTCTGTAGTAGTTCAGCCCTTGCTCTGTGCTTTTATTGCTTCCCTCTTCTTCTCTTTGCCCCTCCTCTTTGTTTCTCTCTTCACTGCTAACTTTCGTATGCTGCACTCACAATGTGTGTTGCACTTCTTTTGCTTCTGTATGTTGGCGACAGGCATAGGCAGGGTGTCCTTTGGAGCTTTCCTTGGTAGGTGTGCAGCCTGCGCATCCGGTTCCTCATTTCCTGATCTATCTTTCTGTGTTTATTCCTTTATGTTCTATTGACTAAACGTTAGTGTCATCGTTTCATTTGAGTGTTTTAAAGTCATTGCAACTCTCACTTGTCTCATGTCTTTTATTCCACTGTTTAGTTCTCATTTTAGTTCTGTGACAAATACACAAACTCCAACACACTAGCTGGAGTCAGGGCATCAAAACCAGCATGTTTGACTTTCACAACTGTTTGTGTTGGTTTTATCTGTTTCAATCATGTGTCATTGACTGAATGCTTATGACCCTCTGCGTCATCATAACACAGTACTATGATGTGTATAGCTAAGTGTTATAAAAGGGGTTTGACATGTGTCTGTTCTCCCAGACTTGTCGTTCATCACGACGTGGCCTTTTCTGTGGAAGGTGTCCTCCATCACTCTGGTCAGCTGTCTTCCTCTCTACATAATCAAATACCTGAAGCGTAAGTTTTCTCCACCGAGCTACTCCAAACTGTCCTCATGAACCAAACTTGGATTTTCTGTTTGTTTTTTGTATTTCTTTGAGCTTTCATTTTCAGCACTTTTGTTTTTTACTCACTGGTCCTCAGTGATGGATCAGTGACCTGTGGAGGTCAAGGAAACACTGGAACAATCAAACATGGAGGAAAATTAAATGATTGTTCTTTGGGACTTCTTTCTCTGACACTTGGGATTACTTGAAAACGCAGAGCACATAACAAAAGACTACAAAAGGATGGATTTTGGCACACAAAAGTTGGAAGGATGGAAGTGACTGCACTTAGAAGGCCTGAAACACTTGAGCATGTTTTGTTGGGATGTGTCAGACAGCATATTTTTGTTTTTAAAGCGTCTCAAACAAATCAGCTTTGGGTGTCATTTTATACAGCTCTGATTATTTGCTTTCAATTTTCAAATTTTTATATGCGGAATTCCATCATTTTTAGGTGTTTTTTTTATAGGTGTTAAAGTTGCTGACCTTCAACAGTGTTGAGTTGCTGTGAGGGATGAAGTTTTTCCTGTAAATAAATCTTTTACATGCAGCTTTGATTAGCTCTGCTGTCACAGTAAACCTCACTGTGTTTAAATGTGCATTAACCAAAAAAAAAAGAACATTTATGATGACATTCAATAAGAAAATGCTGATTATCCAGGACACAAACCTTCTTGGGATTTGCTTCCTGTGCATTTGCTGCTGTTAGTCTTAGACATTTTTAAGACAGCGAATGACATCTTCAGTCCATTATCACTAGTATAAAACCAGCACTCCAAAGCAACGTTTGGGCTTGATCCAAAAACACTGGTGTTTGTATATTTGTAGGCCTTTATTGACAGTGGAACTCTCCTGAGTGTCTGTGTGGCTTTGGCCTGGAGTGGATGTGGACGTTCAGCTCTTTTTAAGGAGGAATGAGTTTTATCATTTGCTCCATGTATTGTAAGTGTTAAGGGAAGACAGATGGAAAAAGTTAAACTGATCTGTTAAGTGTACCGTTGAGCAAACAGGGTGTAGTTTAGCTATGTTTGTTAGTAAGGTTGTCATTGTTTACACAGTTGTATTGTTTCTTTCACATCATGACAGCGTTACTAAAAAATATAGCTTCGCAATAAGATAAAAGGCAAATAGTGGATGTAGTTGTTTGGAAAAGAGTTTGTGACTGTGATACTTAAATGCAAGTTGCATTTAGGGTTTGAACTGGTGATTTCTGTTCCTACAAGAAGCAATTCCAAATGCTGGTTCCTGTTGACATCAGTGTTCTTTCTGTGTTTCTTTCTTGTGAACTTGCTTTCCATGTCCTATACTGCAATTTCTAACAGTGTCTATTATTTATAATATTGTTATTGATTGAGTATTAAAAACAATGGACAGATGCCAAAAAGTTCCCAGTTTCTTTATTTTCCTACAAAGTCAAGGCAGTTGAGAATTTTGCCATTTCATCATGTGGCCACTAGATGGAGGTAGAAACTAAATACTGACAATGAAAACTGGAAGTCCAGGTAAAGGAGCATTACAGTCTAATTTGCACATTTCTCCAAGTTTATTCTGTGAAAATACTGCTACTCTTCTAACATTACAAATACCACATATATTACTCTTGACAGTTCTTAACTAAATATGAGAATTTTAAAGGCCCTCATGATGGCTGATTTGCAGTGACGTCACCCATTAGTAATCTTAGTGACTCAACTCTAAATGGACACATTTTAAAGACAGTTTATTTTGAAATTCATTGTCTTCTGATAGACTTCCTATTGTAGATGGAGCATATTTTTATAACAATTTAAAAAAATCAAAAATTATTCAGGCAAGCATTACTTTATGGAACCAGGGAAACCTCAGAGAGGTTAAAAATTTCTTTTTCAAGTGCCCATGCCAAGAGAGGTCACAATAACAGTGAGTTACAGATGGAGACAGGTATATGAAAAAACACATTTGGGATCTCAAATGTGTTGCACAATAATTGTTAAATCAAAATGTATGTTGTGTGAGTAATGTATATAATGAAGCCTCACTGTAGAGAGGAAATAGTTTTTCAATATCCCTAACCTTATAGTAATTACAGGTTGTATTTACACGAAAGCTTTACAAGGGAGGCTTTAAAAAAAAAAAGGTTTTGCTCTGTAATCTAAGGCAGCCTTTGACCAGGCAATGTGTTATCAATTTCTCCCCACAGAGGAGGAAGTAGTTTGTGGAAGGAGGCTTGACCCAGTGATGAATGTGATGGTCTGATGGCTTTAATATGTTAAGTGATGTTCTCTTTCATCTCCTCGTTTTCACTTTGCACACCCACAGGAGGGGAAGAAATGCTGCACCAACTGTTCCGTCAATCTGTGCGTGTATGGGCGATCATTGTGGTGCGTTTTCCTAATTGGCTGCAGTTAATGTGCAGCATGAGGGATATTGTTCATGTGACTGATGATTTATTGTACTGGGCTACTAGAGAACTATGTATTTAACACATGCAGGGTGTTTTATTAAAATACATTCTGTCCCCAAGAATACTAGATCATCAATAATAAATGACAAGAACTGAGAAAAGTTTCACACAAGGGAGAGATAATGTTTTACCAGCATAACTCCAAAAGTTCTGCATGGATTTTGATTAGATTTCATTGTCAAGAGATTACATTATGAGGGTCAAATGATCATGGAAACATTGCTTTTAGGTGGAACGGTATTGTGAGGACAGTGATTTGCCTTGGCGGAGGTTTGCACTCTGAGTGTGGTCTGGTTTCCACATAATATTGCAGAGCCTCTGTTTTACAGGTATTTAGGCTTTGTTAAGAACTATACAGCTCATTACCCAGAACATTACATCTCAACCATGTTGTCAGTTCCTGCAGCAGTTTTACAGTCAAATATGTTTCTGTATGTTCAGTGCATACATTATATAAAATGTGCACAGACTGCAAACCTACACTGCAGCTGCCAACAACTGTGCACCTTCATTCTATATTCTCCAGAGCTGCAGGTTTGATTATGAAGTGCAGAATCATGACAGTGGAGCTGTTACATTGTCAGAATGGAAGTTAATAATCTAACATTTCATATCTGGTAAAACAAGTTGTCATCGGTTTTCAAAAACAGTAATTTAATACTTTAATTTGAAGCCCTCCAGGATGAGGCATCTTTGCTAAACACATGTCCTCAAAACTAGATCTTATCCAGCCCAGAAGTGGTACACAAAACACTTGCACAGCAGAAACTTCAGATGCATGGAACATTTTGGATTAGTCAGATTAGTTTTTTCACATTTTTGCCTCTTTTTATATGCTGGAGGGAGACCTGCCATTATGCTATCTTGTTACTAAGGGGCTAAGTGGCTTATGTAGCCATATTCCATCTGACTGGGCTTGTTATAAAATTCCACAGCACCCTGTTTGAATTAAGAAACAGCAACCAGCAGAGATCAAATTACTGCTAATGACTGGCTCAGTGGGGGAGAAGAGTTTGGAAAATTTAGGTAAGACAAGACTATTTTTATTTCCAAAATTCAGTTATTTATCACTGTAAAACCATAGACTGTATGTAAAAATGGACAATGGTGCTTGGCATTTTGCTACCAGACTCTGCACAGTAGCAACCAGAAGTGGAGTGGCTTCATCAGACCACCAGTCAAAGCTGTCAAATTAACTGATATTCACATGACAACAGTGTGATAATATCTACCAAAAACAACAGAAATCACCTCTGGGATAGGTTTATCTGATTTGTATTTTGAATTTTTATTTGGCTCATGTCCCATCCACTAACATGGAGTAGGTGGGATTTAAGAATTTTACTGTAACCAGCCACCAGGGGGCAATCGGCTCACGGTTACCTCACTACTGTCAGACTGTCATTCTTTTAGACAGTCAATGTACACAACCAACTGTATTATCAGCTACTGTTATTTTCAAATTATAAACATTTGCTTTTTTAAAGATACCCAAGAAGGTATTTTTACACTTAGTTACAGTCAGCAAAATGCTCTAAGGATGTTTTTTTAGACCAGAATCATGTATGTACAAACTTCCTCATGTCAACAGGCTCCTTCACAGGCCGATCTCAGTTGTGTGCTGTGCTCCACAGCAACAAACTGGTAACCACACTCCTCTGCAGTTACACTAGCTCCATTCTTGATTTATGTAAACGGCCTTGGCCATGTGGAGCCTGCGCAACCAAGACCAACAGCTAAGAGACAGTAAAGGGCTGTGTGCCTCGGGGAGCTGTTGCTCAGTGTTGTGCCTGAGCTTAACCCCGTCTCTGGCACCGTTAGGGATTGTATATGAACCTCCCGGCCTTCTGAAAGCATTCCCTTGCCTCTGATAGCTCCTCCCTTGGCTGTAACTCAGCAACAGGCCTTCACAACAGGAAACAGAGCAGGGGATTCCGTCACAGCAGCCGAGAAAAAAGGAGAACATAGATGGGAGACAGGAAGCCTGGCTGTAAGAAAGAGCGGGGATGACGGTGGGGTGTGGTGTTGGGGGCGGGGGGGTGAGACAGGCTGACAAACACCAAAATACACAACTTACCCAAACACAAAAAAACAGGCCTTTTCTCCTTTCTTTTTTTGTTTTTTGTTTTTAAGAAAGATTTGTTTCCTCATGACTCAAAATGTCCGTGGTTAAATTACAGGGTGAGACTTCTGGCTTCCAAGTTGTTCTAAGTTCAAGTAAAATCTGCATTTTTCATGTGGTGTTTTGTTTTGATATGACACTTTATCAATGCACATTTTTGTTTGACTAACTACTTTTCTTTTTTATCTCTCATGCTTTTTCAGTCCACTGTGAACTGGGCCGAAACCCTTTGAAGTGTGCAAATCTAGTCAGCATACAGGTGTGCAGGTTATATCTAATGCTTCCTGAAGCCAGTTTTCTGGCCACAGCCTGACCTCAACTTGTGGTTGCAGGCTATTTTTAGTGTTTGTTTAATTCAATGTCCAGAAGCACTTTATAAAATTCCTGTTATGGGTCCACATATGGTGAGAGGGGTGTATGAGTAGAAACACAAAGAAGTTCAGTAACAATTTTTTCAGTTTTCTTCCAACTCATTTTTCCAAGACAAACAGGTGATTCAGCAGTGGGAAAGTCAGCATTTTGGGCTGGTTGTTTCTCACTTTATGAATAACTTACAGTGCCGTCCAATGTTCCATCATGTTTTTGTTGAGACACAAGTGAAAGCCAGGCACTGGATTTTGAGGGTTAGAACTGTGGAAAGAAAAGCGAGTCGAGGTCTTTTCCACCTCGTTGCTGCCAAACCACGTCATACCGCGAAGAGTGTTCGCAAAGTTTGGCAGTGACCACATATGGGATGGCAGATGACAAAAATGTGTGGGTTTATAATGGGGAGACCACCCCCAGCCTCTGTTCCTTTACCCCCTCCCAGACTCTTAAAATGATGATGCACAAGGCAAATCTTCAGGCAGCACAGTTAATCAGTGCTCCGATCAGAGTGAGATGTGGGATGGAAAATGGTTCCTGATGATCTACAGTCTGATTAAATTAGCAAAGGTGTTGTTTCCCTCATTAGCTAGAAAGATTGCACCATCACTGTGTTGCCCTCACTTTAACTCACAGTGGAGATCCCACACTGACAATGTGAAGTTCTCACTGGTACAGTTTTAATGTGA